GTCCGTCTCTTCGTGGAAGAAACGAACGTAACTGGCACAGGTCTGGTAGAAAGGCAGTCAGTTTATAAACTGCAGCCCAGTTTCCTATCTAAGTTGCAGTGACTTTTAAGAATGAGAGCTGCAAACAAAAGAGTGTTTATAATCTTTCCGGATATGTTGCCGGTTGGGATTCCCCGCTCTCCCCCCCTTCCCCCCCCCCAATGAATTGTTTTGGCAGTTTTCCTTTCCTCGTGCCCCTCTCTGTGCGAGCCGTTTTGTCTGTTAGGACTGCACTGCTCCCCCCGGTCGTGCCGGGTCTCGTTTGTTTCTGACCGGTTACAACCGCAGCTCAGGCTGTGGCGCCGGTCTCCAGCGGCGCAGACCTTTTTCTGGCTTAGTTTGGATCCCTTTCTCCTCAAAATGGAGGAAATGATATGAAGTCTTAAATCGTACCAAGTACTGTGTACAGATTTTTAATGCTATAGTTGATGGTAACTAGCAGTTTTCGTTTAACTTGAATCATGGTGATGTGGTCAAACACAAAGCACTTAGTGATTTTTTTTTCCTGTTGTTTTTGACTTTGCAGCTGCAAAACATGGTGAAAGCACTTGAAAGCACATGTTTCATCTTTTCTGTCAGTATCCAAGAATGTAATTTTCAACATTTTCTCATTCTATTTTATTAGAGCCCTAATCTTACTCATACTGACTTAAGGACAAAAGTCTTCCTTTTTATGGAAGAAGGCTTTGGCTTAAGATGTTTATCTTATAGAAGATGACTTCTGTGTTTCTTAAAAGCAGTGAACTGAATTGAAATTGCATGCACTCCAATGAAATGTTAAAGCTGCCTTTTGCAAAATTTTTAAAAGGACAACGAAAATAGTAATGCCAAAACCTGATCCTCAGCCCTATCCAGTAACATAAAAAGTGCTGAGTTCAAGTCAAGCCAGATAATTGCACTGCATGGGGGGCAAGGAGGAAGGAGAGAAGAGAAGATTGGTTCACATGTGACATTTGGACCACTAGCCTTTTTCACAGTACTTTTCACACTATTCCAGTGATCAAAAGTATAGCACATTTCCCATTTTTTTTGGATTAAAATTGCGAGAACAGATTAGAATGAAAAATCATACAGTAGTTGATGCTAGGTGAAGTTATGTTTGCTACTTTAGAAGTCCACGTTACTGCTTGTAGTTTAGATTTAAGATCCGCAAGGAGAAAGCAAGCCTCTGTTTTCAATGCACCTTGAAAAATTCCACAAAAGACCAGGTAACTTTAAGCCGATATTTGTTTTTATTCATATCAGTCATATAAATTACAGAGGTTACCAAACTATATATACAGTTGCCATTCAATGAGCCTGTATACTTGAAAGACAGAGACCACAGAATTGCCAGTTTATTATTCTATAAACAGGCTTTTTTAGGGATAATATTGAAAAAAGAAAGTTAAACTGTGACTGCAAGAAAGAAGAATGTTTTTAAAAGGCAATTTACCATTTATTTAAAAACTAGTTACTCTGTTTATTAAAGGAGCCTCCCCCTGGCATGTGACACTCCATCATCTATTGCAGGTTGCCCCGTGGTCAGCAAATGACGCAGTTCTTCAGTAATTATTTTTTCAAACTGTGCTTCCTAGTCTGCATCTTACCAGATAGCATCCAAATACTGCGCCAGATCAGGATTTTCTTTGTAGGCTTCCTGATAGTGCTTACAATAGTATCTGAGTGCTTCACACCAATCGATTTACCTCTGCAACTATCCTGTGAGAGGGGGAGGTTTTACTAATCCTGTCTTCCAGGTGTAAAATGGAGACAGAGCGCTTTTTTGACTCCAAGTTTTGTGTCCGTTCACTTTCTAGAACTCCCTTCTCTTCCCAGCCTTGCCTTCCTCCCTTCCATGGCTTTTGCTGTGGTGGGATAAAAACCTCTGGCCCTCTGTGCTGAAGGTGGTTCATCTCTAGAAAAAACAAACCCCAGATACCTTTGGGACAATCAAACTCAGAGGGATGAGAATCTTCTCTTTAAAATAGAAGTCAAACCAACAGTATAATAGAAGCTGTTTGGCAGAAGAAATCCTAATCCACCCAAACCTTAATCTCTTTAGTTATCCCCATAGGCTGCTTTCAGGTGGTTCTCAGAAGCAAAACATTTTCTTATAATGTCATATTTACAGCAATCCTACAGCCGTTTATTTTACAAGTCAAATTTGTGCCTACTGGACCCCACAGAAGTCAAAGGACCTAGAAGCCAGAAAGGATTTGGCCTTCTATCAGCGAAGACGGCAATTCTGAATTCCAGGAAGCTATTTATAATCCCACTGACTCTACAGAGAAGATTCTTGGTTTACTTGTATTTGAAAGCAGAACAAGGCCCAAGAATAGCATCACAATCATTTTCAGGAAATGGTAATTTACAAAGATGATAAATATTGACTTCATTTAACCCATGCAGTGTCCACATGATTCTTTGTTTTTCCAGTACCTGAACTTCAGTCAGTTGAATAAGGAGAACTCAGCTAGAAGAAAAGAATAAAAATATCAGCCTCAAGACAGTTGCTGCTGCTCATTCAAAAGTTACTGCAAATCAAGCCCTCTCTGGCTCAAAGTAATTGCAGTCTCATTTGCACACTCTAATAAAAACTCGTAAGGCTCTGAAGATACCCCTTCTAATCCCTCACAAAACCTAGTAATATTCATTAGAAAAGACTTATTGGAAACAGTTGCAATAAAAGTACATGAACTTCTGTGGTTCTTGTAGCCCATGGATATGTAGAGCAAGGTTTTTCCTGAGTCCCATTTCCCAGATGGGTAGGAGAATCTAGAGGAGGGGAATGGAAAGGGAATCCAACAAGACTGCAGAAAGTATATCTTGCTAGGATCAAGTCACTGAGTTGTAAGATATTTTTTCCTGCCACAGCTTTCACTCTTGTTCTCTGCCTCTCAGACAGTGATCTCTTTCACTGACATCTCATGGAGAAAAAGTGAAGAGACACTGTCGCTTTAATAATGCAAACTGGCTGCTTACTGAACTTAGCCGGCTACTCACTAGCAGAGGTCATCATGTGTGAATTTGAGATGAATAAAGTAAAAAACTCCAAATTTCCCTCATTTTCATTCAGCAGAGTAATGGAAAAAAAAAAAAAGTAGAAAATTGTCTTGAAATCTTCAAAGACTATTTTCTCCCCTAATTATTAGAAGAAAACGTATCTAGCAAGAGCCTCCAGAAATCCACCTACCATCTGGCAGCACTGAACTACTTCTCTAGTACCCTTAAATTGCAACATGATTACATTCGATTCTCCCAACTCAGCAGCAAACACTTTCTTTTTGTGACCCCAAGAGATGGTGCTGATCACAGCTGGTGGTTTGGAAGCTCCTCACAGAGCTGGTTTGAGAATTCCTGTGCATGCGAAAGGAAACTGAAAATGCTTGGTACCTGATGATAAACAAAAGTGAAGCCAACTATTCTTTTCACTGCCAAAACTTAAAGAAATGCAAACATACATATAGTTCACAAATGCAGTTTCTAAAGTCGGAACTGTTTTCATAGATATAAAACAAATGACAAACGGGTGAAGACATGTCTCAGATTGTGTGGTACGCAATCAGCTCTTCAGTTTGTTCTATAATAAAGAATTTCTCTACTTATACTTAAAGTTTCATTGTGCAGCCAAATAATTTTTGCTATTTATACCTCCTGCACTGATTAGACAATTGTTAGTCAGGATTCTGGTGTATCGTTTGTTTTATTGGGAGTGAGGAGAAATGTTTACACAGAAGTATTTGAAGGTGATTTGACAGGCTTTTAAATACATAACCAGTTTAAGATCATAAATCATAGAATATATTAAAAACTAAAAGTTAAAATGTAGTATTAAAAAAAAAAAAATCAATATTTTCTTTTAAAGCTGCTAAGGCCAAACTACTGCTGTGTTTCCTGATATAATTCTGCTGGACAGATTCGCAGTGGGTATAAATTAGTGCCACTTTAAGCCATGATTATTTAGGCCAGTTCAGGCCTTGTAATTTGAAAGCTGAAATGATCTGTGCTGTAGAAGTGCAGAGTTGGGAATACAATTTCTAGTCAGTAAATAAAAAAACAAAATATTTTTAATATAACGTTGGTATGTTATTTCCCAAATCTTTCTATGTACTCTTAGTGATTGTTTTAGTTACTAAAAATGTTTCAGTTCGCTTTTAGGTTAGGTACTGCATGTAGAAACTTACAGCACAGAAAAGTTGTGCGAATTTGTTGAATCTGAACTTTTTATGCTCCTTGTGCAGCCTCCTTCAGCAAAACCAAGTCCTTTGTATTATCAATAAAATTAGTGCAATTTCTATATATCTGTGAGTGTAAAAGCCTAATTAATTTGTGTAAGAACTCCAAGATCTTTGCATTATGAAGTTCATGGTTCACTGGCCAGCATATTGGATAATTTCCAATACAGCAGTGCCTCCAAGTACACTGCAGTGTGTTGGCCTAATTAGAATAGGAAATATCTGCATTGCTATTTCAAAATGTAATACAGCAACTGATGAAAAAGCTCTAATTTTGTCATAACTGCAAAAGCCTATTTTATAAGCAGCATGTGTGTTAAATGTTCCATTTGCTTAGTATTAAACTATGAACGGAAAAGTTTGCAACATACCGCTGTTTCAATCACTGTGGGACTCAGGTGTTCTCTCAGCACAGCATAAACGCTTGGAGACATAGGAAGAAGATCTGATGGAGAATGTGGATCTGTGGAGTCATTTAAGCTTTAAAAAAAAAAAAAGAAAAAAAGTTAAAAGCAACTTAAATCCCTCTACCTTGGTGCATAGCAGTGGAGTATGGTGTATCACTGATGGTGAATGCTTAATTAAGTTCATTAAGACTGTACTGAGGCTTGCTGTTAGCTCTGTGAGTGTTTACCAACAACCTGGTATATATTTAAAAATGCAGGAGATATGAGCAAAGGAAGAGATGTTAAAACTGACTCTGTAATAATTACTACTGGGGAGAAAAAGAGGATGACAGTGAAAGATGACGTAGATCACAGTACCATAAAGCCTGCATTATGTTTTTACAAATGTTTTTTCCACATGGATGGGAAAAGCACTCCAGAAGTGAAGTTCTTCATTTGCCTTTGGCAGTCCTTGGCCAAACAAAAACATATCCCTAACTAGTTGGATGGGGGAAAGTAGGCAGAGAAAAGTTGGAAACAGTATGTAAACTTACTGAAAATAACAAAATGTAATAAATCTTTAAAGTTACTCACATTTTGGAGACTGGGATAAATACAGAAGGAACATAACCTTTGACTCCTCCTTCAGAGGGCTTTGAGACTAAAAATTAATATTACAGAAATTAAATAGGGCCTAGCAATATTGCTATTTATTGAAAATTATTGTCTGCTTTAAGAGCTGCAGACCATAATATATGAAAAGAGAAATGTGTCTGTTTAAATAGTCATAAACATGAGGGAAATTCCTGAGTTCAGTCTTTGCATTCAGGCCTTAGTCACAAAAGTGTGCTCACTTAATAGGAAAAATACCTACATCACCATGCGAGACTATCATACGGTAACTGCTGAAAGAGATCTCATTAGGACTTCAAAAGGGAATACTTAGTTACTCTAAAAGCTTCGTACGTCTCAGCCTTTAGATTTCAGTTCCACAAAGCTTGAATGGAGTCTTATCTATACAGATAAAGCTTCAGAGACGCATTTTGCATGAAGTTAAACGTATATATATAAATATTTAGAGAATTGGAGCAGTAGGCAAAATCCACTGATTTAAAACGAAGAGGAAAAGCACTTGTAGCCTGCAAATATCTTTGAGTGGTACAGGGACTTGAGTTCAGATGGAGTTGTATCCTATTATACTGAAAGTCAAGAAGAATGTGTATTATCTAGTTTTGGTTTTTTTTTTTTTTTTTTTTTTTGGGGGGGAAGGGTTTTTTTAAAAAATGGCTTGACTTGTAACTCAATAGGAAGGAGCATGGGCCTGCACCCATTCAGAACTATTCTTGTCTAGCCTTTTTTGCATAGCCAGGGGTTATACTGCTGTCTGGATGGGGAATTAAAGCAGGTTTTCCAAGCTGTTTGGAAAATACAAAATTGCTTGAAATGAAAGAAACAGCATGCTACAGGATTTCACAATTTTTAAGCAGATAAGCAGGGTGAGTTTTCAGTTTCATCTCCTTTCAACATCTGAGTTGTAATGTAGCGCTCAGAAAAAAACCACCACCTTGTTTACTCTTTCTACCCCAAGGTCTATTTCTTAGCTTCTTTTAAATATTGTTGCGATAGCTTCTAATATAACCTCTAAATCCATGGATATATTTGCAAAATGAAGCTGTCTAAAATTAAAACAGTTCTCTTGAAGATATTGATTAAAGGAAGCATCTGAATCTGTTCCCTTCCTCCTCTCCCCAAATGTATCAAGTAGCCTGTGACTTTGAAGTTGCTTTTCAGAAGAGGTAAATAGAGAACTGGAGCCCAACCTTCATTTGGCTGACAGCTGTAGTGTTTGCCAAAGGCCTTATCTTTGGGAATGTCTGGATACAGATACTTCAGAGGGTTTTCAGGAACGTTGTCTGCCATAATAACTTTGTAATCTCGCAGTATGTCAGCGAAGGGCAGTGCAGTTAAACGACCTTTATTATAGGGTTCCACAGAATGGAATCTTACTTCTCCTGTAAAAATACAAAGGCACCACAATTGTTGATAATGAAAATAACTGAACAGCTGTAGCTCGAACATAGTTCACCTTTCTTTTGTAGCTTAAACTGGCGTGAGTTTTACTTTTTTTAAATCAATATCTTTCAAGTATGCGCTTATGGAACCAAATTTAAAGCCTGCAGGAATCTAATGAATACATAAATGTAAAGAACTGGCTCTTAGTGTTGATTTGTGTTTCAGTAAATACAATGCTTGTATCTTGCCCAAAACCAAACTAAGCCATGAGACGCAAGTGTTATAAACCAAAGAAACTGTGGCTCTTGCATTGCAAGTGCATTGCGGAATGAGTTCTATGGTGTTATTTTTTTGTTAATTATACTTACCATTTTCTAATTGATCCACCCAGGTAAAGGTAATTCCACCTAGATTGCTTTCACTAAACCTTAATAAAAATGTTCCTGGTGTCTTGTCTTTGAGCAGAATTCGTTCCTTCTCTTTGCTCACAAATCCCATTATGTACCTGAAATTTAATGGAAAATCATGGTTCTACTTTTGGAAAGATTATTCATTCTTCGTACACTTCATTCTGTGTAATGCATCTGGCCAAACTTTATATAGCAATCTAGGTATGTGTGGAAAGTCTGGTTGCAAAGGCTTATATCATCCTGAAAACGTCACAAAAGCTTCACATGAATTACATGTGGAATATGGCACTGAGCTCAAAGAACTATGAAACATAATGAAATTCAGCACAGTACTTGACTGTGTACTAACAACTGATAAAAGAGAAGTCTAAAACTGTATTTTTAATAGATTCAGTGGTGTTCCCTTTTGGCAAAATTTTTGAAAAGTTATGCAACAGGAAGATGTAGACAGAAGTATTCAACTTTTTGCAAATTATCTTCTGTATAGCTAAAACTGAGCTCAATAAAGAAGAAAGAAAAAGTAGAGAGAGATCAATATACAGCTGTTTCCTTATTGCTTACCCATCAATCCAAAGAGGAAGAATGTGTTTCTTAATTAAGTCCAGGATGGCTTCGAGCCAAACCCAAAAGGTAAAAGACTTTCCAGGTAAATGTTCCTAATGGTAGGGGGAAAAAAAGGCACATAAAAAGAGCACTGTTGTCTTTTGCACAACATCCATATGGCATGTCTATCTCAGTTTCTTAGGAATAATATAGTTCGTGTTCCAGTGAGAATGACAAATCTGAATTGCTGCTCAGAGTTAACGTTTCTCTTTGTCTGATGTAAAAACAATTTATTTTTAAAATAAGTGTTGGAAGCGCCTCTTTCATTTTTAAAGAAAATTCACATTCAATGTTTCTTTCTTATTGTGAAATCCTATTTTGAGAGAAACGACAGGGAGAAAGTTGAATTTTCTTCCAAGGTTCTATATGTTTTTATATAACATAGTTAATATCAACAAAATGGATTTACCCTTCCTTCTCAATAATTTTGTCTATTCCTGTCAAAATTAATATATTGACTGACTTAAACTAATTTAGGCCACAACTGAGCATATGGAAATTTACTTATTGTATACTTTGACAGCAAAAATTTACTTACTGCATGCTTTGATAGCACAAACTGTACTGACCATTTACAGAAACACACAGGGCATTCTTGAGTATAATGTTTTCTAAAGTGAATGAATCATAAACTGACTAGAACGTTCAAGAGCTACCCACAGTCTCAAATCTGTAGTAATGGAACTAATTCTCTCTCTTAGCCCAAGCGTTAAAATTCTAGAAATACGATTTTCATAATTACATTTTTAGAATTGGTGTGATCTTTGCTGGGCCTAGGAGTCCCGCAGATGGCAAGTAGGAATCTTGTCACTAACATCAGCGGAATGGAGTTAGGCGTGCATGCAGACAACGAGAGAAAGAAGAATCTAGTTGCACTTTCAGAATCTTACCTTGCAGAACTTTGCCCAGGATAGTTGATAATCATTGTAATTGACTTGTTGCCCTAAAAGCAAAAAATAAAAATATGAGTCTGTTTTTCTGAAGCTTCTGAAATAGATTTGTTTGACATCTGTATAGTTAAAAAAAAAAGTATCGTACATGTTGACTTGGAGAGGGATTCAGAGGGGCATGCTAAGGGACTGTAGATGGCTGTGTACATGGAGAGAGCGTTCAGTGGCATTCAGCAGCTTTTGCGTATCCTTTAGAAGCTACTACAAATGGTAGCTTTGGGAAACTTTGCTTAAAGCAATCTGGGACTTTGTTTCTGCACCACTATGTGCTCAGTTTCGGTTTCTAATCTGAGGTTTACTTCTCCTGGCTGTCACTCGAGCCTGTGTTCTAAGATTTATTTTCTTACGACATGCATGTTTTTACTGATTTGCAGTGGCACCTCTCAACTCCGCTACCTCCACTAACCAAGAAACATCCAAAAAAACCTTTAGAAAGGGTAACTTTGTTACCCAGAGAAACTGGTTTTAGCTTCCTAGATACGAAAGCAGTTCAAATGCTTTTGTTCTTGCCTGACAGTAGAGGTATTGTTACACCCTGTACTTTCAGCAAACCAAATTTCAGCTTGGAGTTTCTTATAGCTTATGACATATTTTACAATTGTTCTACTCAACAAACAGATTAAACTTTCTTTAATTCTGCCAGCTTTCCCTAAAGCCTCTCCTTTCTGGAGAACAGTCAGAATGAAGTGTTCAGCTGTTCATCTTGCTGTTGAACTTAAGCCATGCAGGGCCTCTTTTCTATGTCATCATCATTGAAGGATGGATCGCAGAACTAACGTGCCCAAAAGGACAGGTTCTCAAAAAAAAAACAAAATGAACAACCCCCCCCCCCATCTAAATCGAATCAAACCATATAAACAAGCAAAAGGACTTCTTGATTTCAAACGCATGTGAGGAAACAAAGTGAAGTTCAGTGTGACTCTGATGCCCTCTTTCTTCAGCTAAGCAGCCTCAGAAGTTCCGAAGTTGAATCACTTTGTGGTAAGAATAAGCTGACGTGTACTTTTCTTTAAAGAAAAAAATGTCATAGTGGCATTTTTGAAGTCAGCACTGGAAATGAATCTCATGCTAAAAGTTATTACCTGTGACTATCGCATATAAAAGCCTAAAAGCAAATGCAGTCTGTATGTTTCTATAAACTTAACTTACCTGTCAGTTTTTCTGCCAGCATGTTGAGCTGCTCAGAATTGAGTCCCCGACCAACATATGATGAAAACTGCCAGCTCAGTACTTCTAAGAGCTGACTCAAAGTGGCAGCTGGAGGATTGTTAAAGAAAGACAAATTCTGCAACAGAATTAATGCTTTGTTTAGACAGTTAACAACCCTAAAAAACCACTACAGGGTGCAGAAGAAAGCTGTAAGTAATTAAGCAGAATCTAGAAGTGTTAAAAACAGGGTGGGGTGCAGGGGAAAACTGGGGCAAATATGCCCTAGATCTCCCACCTGTTGCCATCCAGCAAGTTTTACTCAGGTGGCTAAGAAGAATGCTAGGGGAAGGAGAAGAGGGAGATGAGAGAGAGAATGAAAGAGTATGTGTGTGTCTTGAATGATGAAATACCTTGCAATGTTTCAGGTAGCATCGTGTGTTAGGACCATGAAAATATGCTTAAAACCTATTCAACAAATGCAGATATTCTTGGCATACTTTAATATATTTGGCACGTGGAAATCTTACAATATTACACAGCTGTACAGTAATATGTTGCTGAATTATTTGGCTCATTTTTTATTTGATTTTTGGACTATTCCTCTAATGAACGTACTGATGCCAATGCAAAAGACTCTTAGGAGCATCACAGAGTTATAGTGAAGTCCAGGCTGATGGTCAGCTGACCTGCCATGGTTCTTAAAGGCATTCTGTGGTAAGCTATCTTGCCCTTTCTCTCCTCAGAACATCTATATGACAGCAACTAATCACTGACTGAAAACTTAAGAGAGCTATTGACAGCACTATTCTACAAAAATAGCAACAGATGGGACTGAATCTAAAATATGTGCTGACCCAGCCCAGCAGGAGACTGAGAAACAATGGTCCTGCTTTTGCTCAGCATTAGAGGTACTAGAAGGTGCTACCTGACGCTTATGATCTGCTCCAAGAAAAGGATTACTTTCTATGAAATTCCTGAGGAAAAGAGCACTTAAGTACAGTACAGACTCACCTGTACACTGAGTTTGACAGCTTTGTGTTGTATTAGTAGAATTTTTTTTTTTATTTCTTGAGGAGCACATGTACAGTTTTGCTCAAATGCATTCAAGAAAAACAAATTCAAACTAGAAAAGTTGTGGAGACGGCCTATTATCTTTCCTTAGTTTGAGAACTACTACTTTAGCCTACGAAAGTGAAGGGTAACAGTGGATATGGTTTTATGCCTGGGCAGGGAACAAAAAGGAAGGCAAACAACATCACAGTATGATGTTCATACCAGCTAAAAATGGGTATAAGAACGGTGTATGTGAAGAAAATAAGGCCAACGTAAGAGGAAAACACAACTTTTTTTGTTTTTTTTCTGTATATGTTGGGATGTATTTGGCAACCAAATAATGGAAACTTGAAAATGCAGGAAGCCAGTATTTACCTGAGGATCATTGGTTGATAGATTGTACCAAATAATAGAAGCCCAAGCATTGGGTAATTGGCTGACATTGGAAATCATCACAACTGGCAAAGAGCTTGTCTGGTGGAGAGAAAGAACGGAGTACGTGAATGTTGCAGAGGAAAGCGTTAGTGCTGCATTATGTTTTGTTTCCTTTTAACCTCCTCCTCCTCCTTCCCCTCTTGTCCTTTTTCCCTCCCCCCCCCCCCCCCCCCCCCCCCCCCTCTTTTAGCCTGGGATCTTCCAGCTTAATGTAGCAGGACCAACTGATGTTTATCTTTTGTTTAGCCTGTGTTTTGAGACATGGGCAGAATTTCAGAGGGCGTTCAGGACTCAGTTAGCTGAACCTAACTAGCAAGCTTAGCCATAGCTATGTGATGCCTTCTTGACAACTATACAGAACAGTGACTGCATGACTGCTGGCAGCCAGAAAAAGGATTTATGGTAGTCCTTGTCAGTCAGAGAGGTTCTAAAGATCATATGGGGTACACAGGGATTTCCTTTGCCTCTGACTTGCAGTTGGTATCAGACTTTCTCCAGAGCCATAATTTATCACGCTTAATGCCACGGATGTGCCTTCCAGTGAATGCGGTAAGGATTTTGTCACTGACTTCAATAGGTCTTAGAGTCTTTGCTTAGGAAGATGTATTGCCTTTGTGTAGCTTTTCAAAATTACAACATGAGCTAGTATTTGAGCTTATGAAAAGAAGGGCTAAAAAATGTTCCTATAAATCTCTGCATATTTCTGTCCAGAAGTTCTGAAAGTCTTGCATCTGCTTATGGTTACTGCTGAAGGATCTAGGATACATGGACCTGTGGTCTGGCCCAGCATGATTTTCTTATGTAAGCAGCTGGAAAATATTTTTTGTTCTTGCCACAGAAAATTGGCTAGAATACTCACTTCCAAATTTATAGTCAATCCATACAGGCAGACCTGTGTTTCAAAGCTGATGGAGTGCAGTTCTTCAGTCACCATATGAGGGCCCTATGTGAATAAGTAGATTATAAAACCGTGAATGCACAGTTGGCATTTAACACTGTCTTGGTACGCTGAACTGTTGAGATCACACAACATTCAAAGAAAACATATATCAAATTTACAAGTAGAGCAGGAAAGGAAGGAAATGAAGAAAATAATTTGTTTGTTAAACACTGTGACATTAAATCAGTCCAGAAATCTCGTGGTTTTTCTGAAGAATCTAAAAAACACTCTAAGCATTGGCAAAGCAACACTATTAAACTTTTAACTTTTGTTTCTAACATTTAAAGTGTTACATTTAAACATGGTGTTGCACATTCAAAAAGTTAGCAGATCATTTTTTGTCTGATGAAGATCGTCTCAACCTTTTTTCTTAAAGTTTCTTTACTGACTGACAATTCTAATTTAACTAGAGATGTTAAATTTCAAACTAGAAATAAAACAAAAAACAATTATAGAAGATAGGTCTTTAATGACAAGTAGGCCCCCATCTTAGAGCATGGTTTTTTTAGTATACTATGATGGCACTAGTTGAAGGACTAGGGACCTAAATCATTAATCCAAAGTAAATCTGGTATAAAAAACAAGCTTTTCTTTCAGAGAAAAGAAAATCTGCTTGGCATGGTTGATAAAACTTTGTAGTAGAAACTTTTTGGTTTGGTTACAAACAAGCATAGCTCAGTAAAGATCAGAATCTCTACTCTTGGGAAACAGCTCTTTGGAAATTTATTTTGATCCCCAGAAGTCAAAATATAAAAAGCTTTTTTGCTTTTCCTGTTTTTTTTCCATCGTCAGACATTTGTTTTGACAGACTTTTTAAAAAAAGAACAGAAATCTTTGTGTTCCTGAATCAAAATACTTCCATTTCCATTTACTGAAATATTCCACTTTGACTCAATGTAAAAATAAAACTGTTCCTTGAGGAAAGCGCCTCATGGCTTCATCTGTCCCATGAAGCACCTCCTTCTGGGCATGTACAGGACGCTACAGCAAAAGATACTGTATGAATGAGGGGTTGGGACCACAAGAGAGCCTCAGGCATCTGAATTACAAATTTGCCATGTAATAGGAAAATGCAGCATAGAGCTGCATCCATTGAATAAACTCAAATGTTTTCATACAGGTAGAATCAATCTAATTCAAATTCTATTGCTGACAAAAAGTTGAAAAAGGTTGGTGAAACTCCCCTCACCCCTCATTATGATTTTGCAGAAACTGAAATTTTCCCATGGAAAAAAATCACTGAGCCAAAAAGGCATATCCATATGAAAGTATAAGATATGACCTCAAATATAGAGAGCTTTCACTTGTTTTTTTTACAAGGTAAGTCATAACTCACAACTGTGCTCTCAGCTTACTAAACACCCTATAACAAAACAAGTTTCTGTATTATCATAGGTGCTGTTAATCATACAGCTTGTTCACACAAATAACGATTGCACAGATTGTGCTTTGACCTAGGAGAAGTTCCATTTGAGGAAATCAGTTAGCAGGCAACCATGTCACGGCTGTCCTCATTCTCCACGGCCATATAGTTGTATATAGCTATATATGCAGAATACACGAAAGTGGGTGTAAAATGGTACCAAAAGTAAATACCAACATTTTTACACCTACATTTTGTACTTGCTTAACTTGATGCAAATGACTTTGTAAGTAGCAAAGTAATTCAGAAGCAGGTTTTGAGTTTCAGTCTTGCTAATCAAGTTGCAAGTTATTCCATTCAGAAACAGAGTGTTAAGCTTAAGCATGCACAAGTATCTTCTGCTTATGTTTTTGGCTAAAATTATCCATGCTGATCACACCTTTGTTTTGTACTTAAAGACTATTTGTAATAACTTTTGTACTTGTATAATTCCATCTATTTTGGTTGTGATATGAGTTTTGTTTTTTTTTTTAATTTACTAATGCAACTTTACCCTCATCATTTCTGCTGTGTAAAAAAGTTGCGCTACTGTTAGGTGCCTTAAACCAGTATAGTCTATTTCACTTCCTAGGTAAGGATATGGCATTCATATAAGCATTTTATATAACTTCAGTTATCTTGGGAGACTTTCATGTTCTGGTAGCACTGGCAGTGGCTGAATCATTGATTGCAAGCTTTGACTCTTGCTTCAGTCAGAGATTTACCTGCAGATTTTTGCTGTTAAATAGCAAGGCTAAATTTATGGTGTTGGCCCATGGTCACCCTAGACTTGCTATCTATTTGTGTTTTTCCCCTCCCTCCCCACTGTCTTCAGTTGCTGGATGACATCCATGACATCTCCTGTCCTTCTCAGGAGTTCTGCTTTCCCTCCCGCTGGGGAAGGACGAGGGAACCCCTGACAGGCAGTTCTGCCTGTGAGGGGAAATACATCTATGAAAGCTGGGGCACACGGGTGAATAGTGGCTTGTAGGAAGTCAGAGCTGTGAACTAAAAAGACATAGGGTAGAGCTGTGCAGAGGGTGAGGAGCAGGGGGAGAGGAAGAAACGCAGAGCAGTGATGTGGACGCGAGGGGTGCTGGGGATGGCACAGGAAGGTGGGAGTGCTCTGTGAGGTGGGGAGCGCAGGGCACGCAGTTCTGCATGTGGATTAGCGCTGGTGAGTGGGAGTCGTAGGATGGAGGAGTAACGAGGAGCGGTGGAGGCTCGATGTTGGCTGTGCTGCAGGAAGCAGTTGTGTGTTGGAATGGATGTCTTTTGCTTTGGGAAGTTGGAGCATAGATACAGAGTACAGGTGTGCTAAGTATGAGGATGTGTGTGGTATAGCATGGGATGTTGGGGTGAGAGAAATGTATGCCACAGTGCGAATTACCAAGTTATCTGAAAATCCCAATTGGCTCTCAGAAAACAGGAATGTACAGATTTTGAGCTCCTCTGCTAGGAGACAATCACTTGCAACACCTGTTCACTTTACATGCCAGCTGATATGCATGTCTTGTGCAGTCTGAATACTGCAAAGATGCTGTTTGTTAGGTTTAACATGTCATAATATAAGATGACCACAAGAGGGAACGTAAGACTAGATTCAGATGAATATTAATAAACTAATCACACATTTGGCCCAGTTGAGGCAAACAAAACTCTTTGATGGAACTATAATTAAAGCCTTATTTCAGCTATAAACTTGGCCAACAGAGTATACATTTAAAGAACCATTCCTATTGGAAACCTGTATTAAACAAAGCTCAAAAAGCTTATTTTTTCAAAATGTAAATGTCAGACCAAAAAGAAGGCATTAAAGAGGAATGCATACATCCAGATTATTACTTCCTACCTTCATTGTAACTTTTTAATACACAAATTTGAGGCATATAATTAAAATTTCTATGAGTACTTACTTTAAAAAATGTCTCATTATCCTGTCATATGATAATTGGATCCTATTCTTTTTATAAGGATACTGTATATTTCAAAATCTAATATACTTAAATATGGTTGCTGTATGAATTAAATAAAAGCCAGCCCGAAATACATCTGAGAGTATTCAAAAATACCATGTAAAATAAATCTACAAACCTCATTTCCTTTGCTTCCAGCACTCGATTTCATTTCTTTGGGTTGCTGTATAAAGCAAAACAATATTTATGTAGAAAATAAATTAGACAGAAGTACATAAGGAATACCATTTGTAACCATGATATTCTTAATGTATGTGTATAATTAGGATTTATTTACAGTATATGAATATGCTCTAATGAAGGCTCTGACACTAGGCCTTGAGAAGTCCATTCAGTAAATAATGTCTTGATATTTTAAAAGAATTTTTTAAGTGACTAGCTTATAATAAGGTTAATGTAGTAAAGCTTTAATTAGGGTGCTTGCTCAGTATATAATACAACATAGAAGTAAAGACCTTCAACTTCCAGGTCCTTTTGCAAAACTACAATGATACACTGCATCTGTTGTTAAGCCACAAAAATACCATAGGTGAAGGGATCTACTTAGAAAGTAAAACTCATCAGGATATTAGAGAAGTTACAGAAGCAGTAGTGCAGTCCTGCAAAGGATAGTCATCTCAGGCATTAATTTCAATCAAATCTAAAACATTCAATTAGATAATTCCCATAGACTTTATTTTTTATTTATTATAAAACTCAGTTTAAGAGCTGTGTAATTCAGCATGACTAATCTTTTCCTTTACTGGCATTAAAATAGGATTTGCTTTGTCCTTTCTGTGAAAATGTGTTATGTTTATCTCACAGAAGTATGGAACAGGGTTAAGAGGTTCTAGGAGTAAACTTTCTATATAAGGAGGAAAAAACCTAAGTGTAGATTCAACAGTAGTACAGTTCTGATTTCTATACCAGAGGTGCATAACAAGAAAAGAGCAAACTTACCAAATGTCGAAATTCTACAGACAGACTTCCATTTGCTGATTCATCCATGTTCATAGCCTTCACGTGAGTTCCACATAGAACGAATCTACGATTACTAGGGAAGACATTACACTTAATGTACTCGATGGCAAACAATATCATATTGGATAATTTAAGCAATCTCGTATTTTATTTTCTTACCTTACAGTTGAAACATTCCTAAAATAGAAGAGGGGCAGAGGGAAGAAACAGACTTGTGAATCGGTGAATGTGTAAACCATACTTACATTGAGAAACATGTTTTGAGACAGTAATTTTGCTTTGTCTGTTAAAGTTAACACATATTACCAATGCAAATGCAATTGTTTAAGCAAATAACTGAAACTTCCATCAGTTAGACATTTGCTCTGGTGAAATTAAAGTAATATGTTTCACACCTAGCCTTTTTTCCTGCCACGGGAAGGATATGTGGGAATTTAGAACTGCTACGGTATCTAATTGTTTTCATCAGCATGTTCCGGGAGAATGCGAGCCTGTGTACATTGTTGTGGTATGCTGGGAGAACACTTTCACAGCAGCAGATTGGACAGTACATAGCTTTTGAGAGAAAGTTCTGTCTTCTCTCCTGCTCCTTCCGAGACAGATGTCTTCCCTCCTACCTTTGGGCCAACACCTGTGTCTATGTGGTGAATTTGATCAGAGTGTTTTTAGGGGGCTGCAGAAGTACAGCAGCCTGAACAAGGCAGATGGCAGGTACCTGTGGTTAGGGATAGGAGGACTGTGGCCAGCAAGGCCTTGGATCAGCTTTCCTGATTTTGAAGTCGCACTTTGACAGCAAGTCTTCTGCCCCATGTTTTATCATGCTAGAGGGCCCTGATCTATCTTTAACCAAGCTTGCTCTACCATTAGGGAGTATGGGTCTTGCATAGTACTGAAAATAATAAACATTGGTGAGAAGATGCATCACTCAAATAGAGATACTCCAGGTAGTATGAACGCTGTTTTCACAAACATAACATAAATAGGCTCTGAGATATCTTTTTCTCAGAAAATTATAAACAGCCAAAGAAGCTGGGGATCCTGTTTACTCTGGACCGCTGTAAGAAATAATGGAAGCATGAAGGAGTACTGAACCCCTTATAGAGGAGGATTTTATGTAACAGCCTTAATTTCAGACAGGGGTAAAACTCTCTAAGCTACCATAGCTGCTAATTACAGCATCAGCTTTCCAAGCACCAACTTATTGTACTAATTGGAGCAGCTGCACTGAACGTACTGGGACTATGAACACAAGATAAGCGACATTTCAAAACAATATATCCTATAAATGGAATAGAACTTAATTCAAAGTCTTAGTGTGATGCTACTATTTGAGATTGACGAATTTCATCCAAGTCTTGAAACAAACCTTAAATAGACTTCTTGTCTCCCATTTGAAAAATAAAAATAGCTTTTTTAAAAAACATAAAAATCCTTCCCCTGTATTTCTGAAACAAATGAATTTTCTTAATGTTTCAACTTCTCTTCCCCCCTCCCCCACCCTTTTTAAAGTGTCTTCTAAATCAAATAGGGTAGCAACTGATAAACCTTTATTATTTCTGTAGGAAGAGAGAGTTGTCTAATACTTCACTTTAAAGTTTCTTACTTGTCAATAGTTGCTTTCACTCTGATCTGGTAGTTCAGCTCTGGCAATTTAATTAGCAGCCTTTGAAACAGAAAGTGTAAAAATGAACAATCAAACTCAGAAACTCTTACAGAATAAACTTGTTTGTCAACAGAAAATATTAGAGACCAGTATCTCCACACCAAAGTATCTACAATGATTCTAATCCAAAAACAAATTAAGTGCCTAGGATTATACCATGATTCGAAGGGTCCCATCCTCAGAAAGAAGGGAAGAGCTGATTCCAATGGCAAGTGTTTTACCCTCCCTCCACGTATGTGAAAAAGTTAGTATATGTTTGAGGGAATGGGTAGAGGGACAACAAAAAAGAAAACCAAGAGACAGACTTTGCATAATCTGCAACTGCATTGTACATGTACGTGTACTTTCCTTCATGTACCCTTTTTTATTCCTGACCCCCACACATTCCATACATTTTTTGCTGCTAGATGAAAATGAAATGCGAGTTCCCCTCCAATCTTGTCTCTCCTCCCAAAGTGGGTAAGGAGAGAAAAAATTTCTGTCATGGAGACACCAGAGCCTCCAAAAATGCAGAAATTTCTCTTTCCTAAGAGCAAGAGTGGCTCTGAAACTATTCTAGTAATGGCCTGCATGATATGGATCACTATTGGCTTCATTTGCAAAGTCATTAAAGCAAGAATCCAATACATAAAAAAAATCCTGAAGGTGCTGACTTTTGCCCCAAATCTGCCTGCCTTCCTTACACTGATTTGCTGCTTATTGTCACTTACTGTGAGTGACGGATTCTGCAGCGCTTATATCTGCACTCAGGAAAACTCTCACTGGAGTTGGAAGGATCTCTGCCTGACTCTAAACAGAATTTGCTCTGCTTTGTTTTTAAAATTCTGAAATGGTCTCCTAGGATAAAATGTACACAAATTAAGGAATGTATATGAGATTTCCTTTCCTTACCTTAATTTAACAGTGAACTGTATTAAGGTTTTAAGAACCATTGGTCTCTGGGGATGTGTTGGCATGCAGGGCTGCCTTTCAACCACAAATGAACTAGTATGAAAAGAAATGAAATAAATAGACTGGTAGGAATATGCATAAATGAACAGTTGTAGTTAGGGGGGGAAAAAAGCACTGTTATCTCACTGAGGCTTATTTCTCTACAGATGCTGAAGTGGGAGGTACATATTCCAACTCTGAGTTCTCTAAATGAGCTAGTGGTCTAACCTGCAATTGAATTATTCCCATAAGAAACAGATATTTGGAATATGTTAGAGCTCAGAACAAACTCCATAGCATTGAGCCATCACATTCACTTGGAAGATCCAGGCATATATCATAACCATAAAACTAAAAATGAAAATACATTGAACCTGGCTCCAGTGAAATTAAATAATCATTTTCTCTTTTTCATTTTTGAAAAGACAATTAACTATGTTTCTTTCAGACAAAGCTAACAGAATAGTCACTTGTGGTATATCTCTAGTATAGCCAATATGAAAGGGAAGAGGAATAACGACAGTAAATATTTTATATGTTAACAGATGAGTGAATTTGGCAGGGAAGAATGTCTTGGTGGGGAAGAGGAAAGACAAGGAAGGAATTGACTCAAATGACTTTAAGAACTTTTCTCAGCAGGATGTGCATGGCTTCTGCTGAAATAAGTGGATTTTTTGTGTTCACCTAGAGGCAGAACTTGACCACAAACCATTAAGGGCTACACATGAGGAGTTGCCTGGCACCATCAACTTCTATGAGTTTTGATTAAAGCTGTACATACTTCTTACATTAGGAACTCAATTTTTTAAATCTCTGCAGACTCAGCCCTTTTTCTTTTTTTCTTCGTAACAATATAGCCTCATTGTTGCCAATATATTGTGTCAGTTCAAATAAACGATGTAAATTTACAATAGCTTACGTACTTTCGGAAAAGATTGTAGAGCAGAAAATTGACTTTTTCCAGCAGCTGAGGTCTTTGCACTGGGATAGGATCCCCATCATAAGTCAGTCTGGTCAACAGTTCATCCAGTTTTTCCAGCTGCCTTCTAACTTGAAAAAGACTCTCTGCCAACAGTGTAAAACTGCAGCAGGACAAAAGATTAGTTTGCATTCTTTCCTGTAAATTATTTATTAGAGCATAACGGATACTAAAGTTCTTGCTTAGGGAAATCAGAATCGGTACTAATTGATGCTTTTTAGCTTTATGCAAACTAATGTCCACTCATCATCATTTGACATGAGCATGTAAATATATTAGGCAAACTCTCCTGTTTTATTTTCAAAGATAACTAGTTTCTCAGAAGGTTTCATTAACAGCAACGCAACATTGTCTGTGATGAGATTTAGAAGAAATATATGCATGGTCATGATTTGCACACAGGGCACTTACGCCAATTTTATTTCTCTCCTACAGCTTAGTAGGAGTAGTTTTGCAAAATGTGCCCTTTAAAAGGACAACATTTATATAAAAAGAACAAGTTATCAAGTCTGAGGAAGTAAATTTTTCAGAAACATGAAAACCATGACAATGAAAATCAAATCCAAATGTGCTTGCTAACAGTTTAATAGGAAATGTATATATAAAATCATAAAGTTTGTGGTTGTTCTCCTTTCTTTTTCTTTTTTTTCTTACTGTTTACCTCATCTTTTCCAGAAGAGTAGAAAAGTTTGATAGGAGAGAAATGAACACGATGGTTACGTTCTCTGTCTGCATTATCTTTTTAAACATAGTGCTTTTTGGTTTTAGTTGCAATCAGCTTCTTTAGAGTCATGTTCTACCCACCACAAAGTACTTTTGCCATTTAATTCCTGCTTAGTTTTAAGTCTGGAGGAGTGATGTACCTAGTGACTCAAAGCATGAAGTGTCTACCCAGCTCCTACCTAGACAAAACTCCCACTATCCTTAGTGACAAACTCAGGTCAGCACAGTTCTTACTCAAGCAAAACTCCCTACAAGATGTGTATCATGAACCTGGAACAGTCGTCAAACCAAAAAACCAACTGCAACGGCTCAGTCTCAGCAGTTCACTGAGATGTCATTCATTCTAACAGCAAATATTGTCTACCAAAACCAACTATATTTTAGTTATTTATTTGCTTAGCTGCTAATGAACTTGCTGCTGTTGCAAGGTAGCAAGCCAGCTGATCTAAAGCGATCATGATTTCGTTCTCACTGTCAAGCAGCAGGCTTCCTGTGGTTTTCAGTGGAAACATAAGTTAAATGTAATTTTACCAGTTCTGGAGCTGGTCAAGCCCACCATGGAGAGGACCTCCAATGCAGGCAATCTGCTGGCGTCTCTTCCAGTCTAGCAACTCTTCAGTCAGCATGTTGTTCACCAATACATCAATTTCATGAATCACACGTCCTATTTTACTGAGTACTTCCTGTAGAATAGGAAAGTTGTCACAAACTGACCACAGGGAACAGCCACAAAATTCAGCAATTATCATAGAGTGCTGATTACATTTCTGAATTATTTTGAAAGTATTTAGCCCCTACCACTTTAGTTTCTTTTTAATTCATAGGTGATTGTATTCATCACCCGTTGTACTTAAAATTAACCCTGAATGTTGATGAAATCTTCAGTAAAATTTCTTTTTAGGAGTGGGAGTGTACAGGGATTGTTGTAATCATTGCAGACATACTAATTCCAGGACATGGACATTTACAAGCACTGTCAAGGTCAAAAAGTCCTTCTTTTATTTTGTCTGGTAGCCAATGCACAGTTTTGGACATTTTTTGTTAGGCTGCTTGCTTTCAAATGTAAAAACCACATGGACTCAAACAAATTAACTAAATCTGCCTTCTGTACAAGCAAGGAACTGGTCAAGGGAATACTGATCATGTTTATGTCATACTCTCTGTGCTGCTGAGCAGAGCAAGGTACTGTTGTGGGTGAGTTTTTTGCATTTATTTATTACATTTACTTTGAATACTTTTTCTTTACTTTAAAAGCTATAGATTTCCATTTAATTTATCCATCTAGCACGGTACGTAAGTCATGTGAAGTGATGCCCTCACCTTCTTTCTAGTGTGTACAGAATGATGTCTCTGATTGGACTGTTACTTAACTGCCAGTTTCTTAACTGCTAGTCCAAAAAACACGCGCATGAAACCTTTTGTGTATTTCAAACTCATGCTCTATTTGTCTGCTCTTTTGAGAAGAGGATTTAAAAAGGCATACGTACACATTAGATTGTTCAGTGTGGGAATAAGAGGAGAAAGCAAAGGAACCACAAATGACAAAACATGTCACTAACCTTTCTCTTGTAGTCTAAAGTATTGAGCATAGCCTGCAACGTCAACATTTCCTGTTTAATGAGGGCACTGTTTTTTTCACTCTGCTCTGCAGGGGGATGAAAAAAAATTACCTAGTAAATTCAGTGTAAATGTGTGCGTGGGTGTGTGTCTGTGTGTTTATAGTAGGGGGAGGGGGAAAAACCATAACCAGACTGCAATGTGAAGTAGTGAAAAAATTCACTGCAGACATCAGTAATTATGTAACAATGCATTTCATTTGAATAGACTAACTTTAATACAAATTTAAGATATGGATTTATGACCTCACTTTTTATATGTGTATGTGCATACAGAACAGGAAAAGGTAGAAAAGATGCATAAAAATCTATACATTTCTTATTCATGTACACACTCATGCATTATATAAGTTTGGCTTAGATCAATGGTTGATCTGCTGTGCACTACTGAAGTGTGCTCATGGTGTCAGCAGTTGGACTAAAGCTCTTTGGACTCGATGTGAATTACATGTCTGGTTGAGGGAATGAAGGTTAGGCTTTTGAAATGGAGATGAAGTGTTCATTACTATGGGGATTTCAGCAGCTGTGAGTACTCATCACTCAGTGTTGCCCTCTCTCCACAACACTTTTTCTTCTTTGGATCATGCAATAGTTCCAAGCTTGTCCCATTTTCTTTCACATGCAGACCATCCCCCCATCCCTCTCATTTTGCTCTTCTTATGTCTTTCATGCTACCTTCAAAAAAGAAATTGGTGCCAACTGTGTCTGCTGAGCTCTGGATCAGTGTCTTCCCATTACATCAGAGTATATGTTTCAAAAGAGACAGACAAGTAACTGATTGTCAACTCAGCTACAGCAATTGCTCACACACACATTTTAAGGCACTTCAAGCTGTCTGTGCTAGTATACAGCATTTGTTGATGCAGTCAGATTTTCAGCTCTGAAAGTCATTTAAGCGAGCATGTTTTATTTCACAAGTGGGGCAGGTTTCAATCATCTGCATGGTCAATAGTGATGGTTGAGCTGATGATCAGCAACTCATTAAACTATGGCAACCTGATCTCTTCTGACTGCCTGGCCATATCCCGCCTTAAACACATAGGACTGGCACGTTTAAGAACTTGGACATTTTAAGCCCCAGGTATCTCTTCGTGTTCAAAAGGGAGGTAACGTGAAGATATTTGTGCAGACACAGGTGGACCCTAGTTTCCTTTCTGAAAGAGATCATGCAAGGACTCTTGCAATGTGCAGTTCTCAGAACCATCATAGGCTGGTAAAACATGCATGCAGAATATTTACCAGTTCGTTATAACCACTGCGGTCAAAAAAGAACAGAAAGTCAGGTTAGAGATTGAAATTAGTTTTATGCAACTCCACTATGGGAAATAAGATGCTCTTCCACCTCCTGCCAAGGAAGGGCCGTGTCAGACAGGAAACTGAAAAATATGTTCTTTAAATTAAGAAAATTACTATTTCTGTGCTGTTATACAGCTTATTTATAGAAAATAACTGTGTACTTGATCAATGAGATCATATTTACCCTCTTAACCCAAAAGAGTCATTATGTCGCAGACTACAATTTCATAAAAAACTTCCTAAGAATTTGTTTTTGTCCTTACATATATTAGCTGGGTAATACATGAAAAACAACTGAGACTTGTCTCTAGCCTTTTCCTAGATAATCTAAAAATTATTACAAAAAAGTCTTACCTAAGCTTTGTATTGTTTTATACCTGAAGTCAAACTCCTCTTGCAAGTCTTCCAAGTATTTGACATCTTGGTCTGTCATCTTTCCCAGGGAAAATAAAAAGAAAGAAATTATTTGGGTAATTATAGTGACATGAAAATAAATTTGTTTTATAATGGACAAATGCATAATGTAGTATTTTCCTTTCCTGCCATTTGAAAATTCCTAGAAAAAAAGATGATAGAATAATGAATGTTGTATTACACATTTATAACTAGACAGATTTATTTCACTTATTCAGAAAGTCAACTCTTATTCTCTTACCCACAGTAAAATTTTAGTTGATACAACTGATCGTTAGTTCAATGATTGTTTGTTTGTTCAATGATTTAGTGCAAGGCAGAAATTATTACATTTAGCCTAAGTTAAATTTAAATTATTATGCCAATAATGTAACTCTCTGCTTGCAACTTTAAAGCAGGGCAAAGATTTTCCCACCTCTGTTAGCATCTTAAATAATACCATGACTGACATGGTGGATTAATGTTCCCTGAAAAGTGAAAATCAAGAATTATATGCAGCTATTCTTGTTTTTAAAAGCCCAAGTCAAGCAGTAATTTTGGAAAACTAATTCCTCTAACTCTGTGAACAGCAGCACCTGTCCATGGACGGTGTCACAAAGTAGAATGTCTTTCTTGAGAGCTTCAGATTTTCATTTATTCTTCTGAACGTTTGTTTGTTATACATTAAAATTTGAAGATCTGAGAACTTGATAGAGATCAATATTTTATCTCAAAAGCCCCCTATTCCACCTTTGTACAAGACAATCTTAAAATAGGATTACATTCCCTGAAATGTGTGATCCTACACAATTTAGGCCAATGAATAACTTTGCATTGACTTCAATAGGAAATGGAATGGGGCCTGCAAAAACCAGAAAGGTGGAGCCAGAGACAGCAAGTCTGTTTAGAGTTCACAGGCTTTATTTTTAGATAAATGTTTAAGAACTTGGGTAAAGAAACAAAACCTTTTTACTGCTTTGGCTTTTTGTAAGGTTTTGTTTTCATGCTCACTACAAAAAGTCTCGAAGATATTTTCTAGTAATCATACAATTTACAAAGATAATTGAAAAGACATCTCAAAAGAAGGAAAATAAACTAGAAAATCTTCTGGCTTATTTCTGGGGTCTGTTTCTGTGTCATTAATAGGAAGCCTTGATTCTGCCAACAACTTGCAAACAATCCTTTTTAGTTTCCTGAGATATGCAAACTAAGCATTTGTGAAAAGTATAAAAGCTCATTTGCTAAAGTAGGACATACAGAATTAACAATTTGTTTTCCTCTTCATTTTGGGGATTAAACTTTGGATTTACATGTGTACAGTATGAAATTGCATAAATGAGGATCTGGCTGATTTCTGTGTTCAACTTAATTACCTACTAAAAAATCTTGTATCTAGAAATTATTCTCATTTTTACTGGTCCGTCAGGGATGGCTGCACTTCCCCATGTAGAGGCCCACAAACAGGTTTTACATGAAAATTTGTTGAAAGGAGTCCATGCTTGCTAGACACAGGCTGAAAGAGCAGTGTGGTAGGCTATCGGGCTGCAGCTTTGGCTGCCTTTGTTCTGCAACACTTATCTTATAGCTCTATATTGATAGAGATCTAGTATACCCACATTCTTCTAAAGCTAGCTTTATCCTTTTAGGGGTTTCATTTCTCTGTCCTGCTTCCCCATGTAAGCAGACACTTATGAGAGAAAGCTACTGGGACCTCTTTCCAGTATACCAATACTGTTGTTCTTGAATGGCATATACAAATAATTCAAATATAACTTCCACATTAAGACTGCCACATAGCCGAAAGTGGGGCAGTAATGGCAAAAAAGCTGCAGGTAATCTGAATCCTTACCCTGACTTGAAATGAACCTGCAAATATTTTGTGACTGAAGTTTCCAAGTCTCTATGGGATATAGCTACATGGCTGGCTCAGCCCAGTTCTACCCCCACATGACAATTCCTGGAGAATCGTTACCATCGGGTCCCAACCTTCTTCTTCTGTCAGGTCTCCAAAACAAGTAATTATGCCATGTAGCCTTCAGCCTTTCAAAAATCTCGGTATGCGACTCAGAGGCCAGGAAGGTTGCCTACTTCTGACCCAAATAAATGGAAAGACGTTGCAGAAATACATTTACTGAACCTCCCACCTTTTTAGAGGCAGTAGATCTCTTCTTACTGCACTCAGTGCTCTGACTGCAATTTGCAAAAGGATGAGTGTGATAGCTTTAAAACAGCTAGCTCTTGCACTGAATCCAGAGGAGCTGTGAAAACCTGCCTGAGATTCCAGGCATATCTTGAGTAGCTGGCCTGTGCTGAGATCCTTTAGAATAATGAAATGACTGGAGTGGCACATTAGTGCAAGTGTTTGTGCTGTCAGGCTTAACAATAGGTAAAGGATGTCTGTAAGAAAATCATGGCTGTGTAAACAAAAAACAGGACAAACAAAATACCTGAGCACTGTTCTTAATGGCTGACACTTTGTGTTCTACATTTCTTTGTCTTTCTGAAACCACGGAATTCTGCAAAGACTTTTCCAGTGGCCCCTAGAACACATTGAACAAATAATAAGCGGATGAGTTGTGGTGCTTAAAATCAGCAATGCTATTTCCTCTATACTTAAAATATTTCAGACAAGTAACTGTACTGCAACTTCTAGCACAGAGATAGAATTTAGAACCAGATCTTCAGCTGGCTAGAGATCAGATAGCTAAATCTATGTAGATTTAGCATGGACTTGAAAAACATGCTGCTTTAACTTTGAAATCAAGAAGGTGACAGGATACGGATATGCTGCAAATGTTAAACATCTAGTAAATTAAAGAAACTGAAACATAAATTATTAGATTTCTAAAAAAATCTATATCACAACATTCATGTAAGAATACATATTACAGCCACACGAGATTAATAGGATACTATTGTATATGCAGGTTGTCAACAGAACACAGCCGACTCAGAAAAAATTCTGTCTGGGGTCTACCCATACAACAGTTTCCCCAAAATAGTTTTTCTTTAGCTAATTTTAAAATTTCTTTCTTCAAACAACATAAAAACTATCAACGCCTTTGTAACACATAGAATGGAATGACTTTTGCATTGCATAATTAATATGAATAATTAGCGAATTGCATAATTTAAAACATACACATGTACTTTGCAAAGAATAATTTCTCTAAGGCACTTCCCACAGATTAAAGTCTCTGAAGATAAACTGTGACATAGAAGTCACTTCTATCAGTGTTGCCAGTAGTAGAACCATTAGTGAAGTGCACACATGAGTTTGGCCCTCTAGCCCCAGTGCACGCAAAACACTCTAGTGGGATTCATAATGACAGGAGAGGATTCAGTCCTAAAAGCAGTGAGCAGATTAAACAGGAAGCAGATTAATGAAATGTAATTCATTACCTGTACAGGCATGCTAGCTGCAGCTAATATTCTTCTTTCTTCTCTTAAACAGTTTGAGATGATCACTGCTATATGCATGGGATTACCATGATATTTCCCCTGCAAGCACAAGTAAATACCACTGTCAAGAATTAAGAATAAAGGGTGTCCCTCTGGAAATCACAAATAATGTGATTTCACTGTCTACAAGTTACACCTTTGTGTGGGTGAAAAAGATTCCCCTAATGTTCTCGACCTTTGCTAGTGCTGGTGCAGCTTTGCAGTGCAGCATCAGTTAGTGCCATCGTTTTAAAATGTTCTTAACAATGTTATATGGAGATTATAAAGATACAACTCTGAGATGAAAATCATTTGAAGATCAAATTGTTTCATTGCTAACACAGCTGTTCTGAAAGGGCTTTCCTGTCAGCCTATTCTATGTGTGATTTTATCATGTTTTCTCTTTTCAATAAGATGTTATTGTTAGCATGTAGCCTCTCTACTGAAAAATTGTAAGCCTATCAATATAGCAATAATGCAGTCAGAAAAGCCTCCTCAGCATAAAGAACAAAAAAATAAATTTAGTCTATGAAATAATTTTTCTCCGTTAACAAATAACGTGCCTAAGATGAAGCAGCTCTCATCCCAAGCCAGAGAACCTAAATTTTCTCTTTTTTCACAGTACTATAAATAAGGAGCAGAACTGTTGATGGGTGACTGAGAAATGGACACAGGTTGAACAAATTTTAGTTTGTGCTATCTTTATCAAACTGGAAAGCTCGAGTACTCTGAAGCAGCATCTTTCATGCTGATGTTACTTGTTTGGTGTTTCTCAGTATCTTTCATGCCTTTAATTCAGTATTTGTGCATCGTTCATTCAGACGTCAGTGTTCATATATCCTGCTATTTTTCTGCCGTTCATTAGAATTAATCCAGTTCACTTCTTTTCCTGCACAGTTTTCTCTTGAATTTATTCTTTTTTCTCATCTTTCTTATTAGTTTTTATTCTCAACTTATTTTGTTACTATTTAGAACTACCTACTTATTTTTACTTTTTCTGAACCTGGCATGATTAAGCTTACACATACGTAGAGCAATGCTGTATTTTCCCTTGATATCTTACACCTGTTTCTCTATTAGAAACCAAGGGTGTGAACATATGTTATAGAAATGTGAGCACACTCCATTTACGTTCACCTCTTACTATGACAGCATACTTGTATTCTTAGTAATTTTTTACTAGATAAATAAATAAATAAATGTGTGTTTTTGCATGAAATCTAAATATTTTTTCAGTGTTTGTTTTGACTTCCGTTACAAGGTAGAAGAATTTTATATTAAAAATGATCATTTTAATCACTAGACTTTAATAAGACTAGGTTCTAGCTGCTCAGTATTGAATACCATGCTTTTGATAATATTCTGTTTCAACACAGAGACTCAAGTGAAAGACATAGGACTGCCTGCAGCCACATAAGTGATGTATGAGATGTTTCTTTCTAAAGAAACTTTGACTGTCATGGCATTGTTAGCAATGAAACTAATCTCTCTAACTTCTTCAGGGCTTCTGAGGTTTTGCCAGAAGGATAAATAAGGTTACGTGCCCCACGTTGCAACTAGCGCACATCCAAACCAGTCCCAGTGTTGTGCCTCCTTAGATTTATTCAAAAGCTGTTTAGGATTATGCTTCACTCCAGCAATCATCTGTACCAGTTTCACTGAGGAATGAGAGTTAAGGGCTAAACTGTGATTAGGAATATCTCTGAACACAGCAGTGGTGACTAATACCACCACAGGAAACACTATATCCCAGATGAAATTCTACCTTCTCAAACAGAATCCCCTCCCTGCCACCTCTGTGCAGAGCAGCAGCAGCAGCAGCAGCAGTTCTCGACATTATGAGCACGCTGCTGATTTCTGCGTCAAATGACAACTGCTTTTTCTCCCCTACTCAGCTGTGCTGGCCAGCAGGGTGGCTATGCTCTTGGTTATAAGATTAGTAACTATGTTCTTGCTGCATACTTCCTTCAGCACCGCTGCACTTCAGGGCCAGGCTATATCACTAGTCTCCTTTACAGAGGATATTCCCAATCCATGTCTGAGTAACTTCAGAAAGCAACTTTGTGAAGGGAACACTGGAACGTGGGAAATGACATACCATTTTCCTGCAAAAGATTAATAGCGGAATGGAGCTTCAAGACGAAGTGGCTTAAGGCAGGGTTCAACAGGAACAGCTGGAGCAAATTAATTGCTGAAAAGGATGGTCATGCCCTCCCCTGGCCTGCTCTTAGCTGTGCAGTGCCAGCCCTTCTCATGCTGGTCTGGTGACCATCTGACTCTTTTAGTGAGCCAATTCAGATTGCTAACTGAGATGAAAATTACTCACTTTTTTTCTGAATTGGTTTTCTGCCCCTCACTGGACTGAAATTGCTCATCAAAGGATGAGTTGGCTGTTAAGGACTAGCACAAGTGAAGTCGGGAGTGTCTGTCTGGGAAAGGGCAGGGCAGGCCTGCCTTGTTTCAGCTATGCTAGGTTAGATTGTTAACCTATCTCATTGGTTTGCTCCATGACTGGAGGAAAACTGATCCTCTTTTCAAAAGCCTTGGGATAAAAGCTGTGGTGAGAAATCTATGATTGGTATAAATTCACTGATGTGTTTATTAATTTATGCATTAATATCTGTTGTTTTCTAGTTGTTGCTGTTATTTTTTTGCTGGTAGAACAGAGCACCACCTTTCATACACAGTTGTTTGTCTGGAGATGCCTAGCATGTGAGGGCTACACCGTGTGATGGGATCTCTACAAGCTATCTGAAGTTAAAAAGCTTGAGAAGTGTTTAGTCTGGGCTTACCCCTGCCTGGCAGAATTTAACTGATATGTAACAGAGTGGAAGCAGCTAGAAAGCGCTTTAAATCCAAAGATGCAATCCTGCAACCAGGGAGGTCCTTGTGTTTACAAGGAACTTCGGGATACAAAAGTCTGAAAGCAGGGATTGCAATTGGGATAACTAACAGCATTAACGAAAGTGTTGCTTTTATCACTTTGGGCTACGCCTCTGAGGCTCTTTTAGGATTCAATCTTGAGCGTAAGGAGGGCAAGAGGAAAAATCAAGGCAGGCTGGAAATTGCAATCCAAAAAGAAAGTACCCATCACCCTTCAGAGCCCCTGAGGACTGATAGCTGCCTTTCATCATTGTGCTGTGACAGAAAGAGTTCAAACAAAAGCTATTTAAAAACATCAACAGGAATTGAAAATCCTCTCTTGGAGCTGGAAAACATATTTACATAGAAAAAACATTTCAAAAAATCTTATGACAATGGGATGACTTAAAATCCCCCACCATAAATGCTAGGTATTAGGGACTTTCCTAGCATTTCTAGATACCATTCATATGCAAAACTTTTTAAAAACTTTTTTCTCTCTGTTTCATCAAGGGAAAAATGTCTGACCCAAGAGATGAAGATTTTTTTTTTTTCTTCTCGAACGCATAAAGCCCTAGTAATAAGCTGTACTGTAGCAATTCCCTGAGCTGTGCCTGTCTAGCACTTGTTTGATGCCATATAATCCAGTTTGCTGTTCCAGCAGAAAGTGAGCAGGAGGCAGAGAATTGTCACCTGCCTTCGTGCAACACCAGAGCTCAGGGCTGTTGCCCCTCTGAAAGAAAAGCTGGAATAATGCTTTGCAAATGCTGTCACGCCGCAATACAAATGTTTGTGACTAAAGGGCAGGAATGAGCATTGCCTTTCTGATATACAAACTGCAAACATGTTTTGAGCTCTGGACAGCTGGCACCGAGCTGAGCTGTGTGCCCTAACCAGAATGGAGGTTCCCTTCTCTCAGTCTTTAGCTCTCTATCCCAAAACTCCTATGATTGTGCAATATATACTCTATTAATAGCCTCTTTTGCACTAATACTAGTAAAGGATTGCAACTTGTTAAATATTGTCTTAAAAGTAACAATAACAAAACTCATGTATTTGACTCGCTGTCAAAACAATAGTAAATACAGAATTTTTTCTCCCTTCATCTTATGCTTCTCCAAGATAATCACACTTCAGTCAGTATTCCCTTGTTAATAGTTTACAGCAAACTCTTCCTGGTCTGTACTTCAATTTTGTCTTTGGTTCAGGGCAGAATTTGCTCAAGCTGAACTTAACTTCTAAATGACAAACAGAAAATGACTTGCCAACATTGAAAAAGTGGTAGAAGTTGGAAAATAAGAAAATATAACAAAACAAAACAAAAAAAAAGCTTGAGATATGGGAATCCTAGCCTAACGTGTGACATAAGCCTTAACAGCCAGCAAAGGAGGGAGGGCATGGATTCCATAGTTATGGAAGCTTGCATTAAGTTTAAATACATATATATTTACAGAGCAAACTTACAGTCATCTTCTCCTAAATACCAGCAAAGTGGAGAAATTGGGAATTCTTTCATCTTTCATCACACTTTTCAGATGAATTTTCAAATGGAAATGTTACTCTGATCTGCTAATTTTACTGTAGTTCTGTTTTCCTTAGAAATTTTCTTTCTCCTTTCTTCCATTTCCTAATCAATGAGGTCTTTCATATTGTGATTTACAATAAAGAACAAATGATATTATCTGAGCTTGCTCTTTCCCAGTAACTATCAGCATGTGATAAATTTAAACAAATGGAGAAAAAAACCCTTTCATTCTGAAGAGGTAAATTTTTTCTCTGAATGCTGATGACATTTACTAGGGAGAAAAGTCTCCTGCCACATCCCAGAATGCATTGGCTCTACTTCAGAGACATCTGTTGTAGTCCTGTCTTGCTAGATAATGACGAAAACCAAAAGGCATTAATGTAAAAAACAATTCATACGTTATAGCGGCAGAGTTGAGACCCTGTTAGTCACATTTTAAAACAGCTTGAACTATTTAGGATATTTTTAGAAAAATTAAACAGTGCTTGGGGAAATTCAAGACTGATGTGTAAGTCATAAGATAATGGAGAAATTTTAAAATACATATTACAAACCTTTAAAATATATGTTTTTAAAAAAGACACCTAACAACTGGCAGTTTTAGTATCTGATATTTACTGCTTTCTCTGAGAAGACTGAAGAAATCTAGACCAGAGATTCATTTTCATTCTCA